GCTGCGCGCTTTTGAGGAGCGCTTAATAGCAAGAAAGCTCGATTTCTTGCTATGGGGATGGAATTACATCTGTGCGAATATGGTGCGCGAGTGGCTAGAGCCACAGGGACCACCCTCGCGCGGATTGCGTCCGCATGTTGACCGGTGGACAGTCCAAGATTGGGCGCAGGCGTTGGGAAGATGTGCTGGCATGCCAGGGCATCTCCTTTTCGACAGTGAGAGCATCAAGGTGACCAAGCAAGAAGAGGCGCAATTTGTGGAGCTGTTCAAGACCGGGAGGTCTACCAAGAATGGGTACAGGACCCGTGATTACAAGGATCGATTTCGCCGGACTTTGTCCGCGGCGCTGATGCAATTACTGCAGCCGCACCGCGCCTGCTACATCACATTGTGGCAGGTCTCTTTTGTGGAGTGCGTCATCGAGGGAACTCCAATTCACTGGGCGAGCATCCTGCACAGGGTGATGCGACAGCACGCGTTTGAGGAGAAGGGGGGAACTCTAAACCATCTTTCTCCTTTCCTCATCAATTTTTATCGACAGCGGAATTGTTTGACAGCGGCGGAGCTTGAACATTTTCCGCCATTGTCCATCGACCATCCCGGGAAGTATGTGCGGGAGAATGAGGTCGACACTGATGCAGAGGAGTCACCAACTTCTACTCCATCAAGACGGAGGGACGAAGGGAGACACACTCCTGCAGCACGAGTGCCGCGGAAGCGGCGATGGAGGGAAGAGTCCGAAGAGGAGCAGCATCAAGAACCCTCTGCTCCCATTCGACCGCGGCCGCTGTGCGAGCCATACAGCCGGCCGAAGCAGAAGGCACGCAGACTGGTGTTACCAGCTGACAGTGCGGACACGGCGACGATTGCGACGGAGAAAGGAAGTGCGTCGCCAGAGGAGCATGAGGAAGCGCGGACGACCGCAGGAGCGACGGGCCACGCTGCAACCTCGACGGGAGAGAGGCCGCCTACGGGCCAAGGGCCTCCGGAGTTACCACGTGCGATGCGGACAGATGTTCCGTTTGCGCACAGACGAGCCTCCGCGGACGGACGAGCCTCCGCGGACCGGCGAACACAAGTGGACGTGGATCTACGCTTACGCGTGGGAAGGAGCAGTCCGCCTGTGCACAGGCGCTCACCTGTGCACAGGTCGCCTGTGCACAGGACGCCTCCACACGTGCCGCCTGTGCACAGGCAAGAATCACCCCCGTTCCAACGTAGGAAGGGGAAGGAGCCGGCGGAAGAACCGCCTACGAGACACCGGCCCTCGGGGCCAGACCCTCCGGCGCACCACGCGCCGCAATTTGCGCCTTCGGCGCCAGGGCCTTCGAGCCGAGGAGATACGAGCAGAGAGCGTGCGGAGGCCGCACCATCGGCGGGAAGTCCGCCGATAGATGCGCCTTCGGCGGTAGGGCCTATAGGCCAAGGAACATCGGGCGTGCGGCCCCCGGCCATGTCGCCTTCGGCGATAGATGTCCGCGGCGCTACGCCTGCGGCGGACAAGGCGCCGGCAAATGCGCCTGCGCACGGGCCGGGCACAGCCCCCACGGACCGATCAAGGGAGCAGCAGCGGACGATGGAGCGGAGTGACTGTCCGCAGGATGAAATTTCGATGCGCGATGCGCAATCAAACCCCGCGCAGCCACCTTCCGCTCGATCGCCTTCGGCGGCGGACGACGGCGGCAGAGAGGATGCGGTAGACAATCAACAAGCGAGCGACGGGGATGCCGCACGGGTACATTCGCCTTCCGCCTTAGACATTTTGGCGACGAGCAGCGAGGCTGCAGCCGTGCCTTCGCAGGCAGCACACGTCGACGACGTGCAGCCCCACTCGGGGCAGTCGCCGACGCAATCAATGGCGACTGAAATTCTCCACTCGGATGATGACGACGGAGGCTCCACGGAAGAAATGTCAGGAGCAGAAGACACCGAGGAGGAGGAGGAGGAAATTGTTGGAGCGCCGGCGGCGGCGCTCTCTGAGCAGGTGATTCCGTTGCTGCGGTACTTGGATCGCAAGGTCGATAAATACGCCGACCCACTCCAGCCGGGATCTTACATCGAGTTAGTGCGCAGGCGGACTCGCACTAAAGTCCACACCAGCAAGCTATTAGCTAGAGTGGACCAGGAGTTGAAGGAATTGAAGGAGAAGCATGCGTGCTTGTGGGGTCAGTACAGGCTTAATCAGAAATTCTACAAGCACTCCGAGAAGATGAAGGATGAGAAACTGGACGAGCTCACCAAGGAGCAGGTGAAGGTCAAGGAAGCACTCATTTCTGAGCAGGCCCAGAATCGGATTTTGTCAGAGGAGCTCGTGCGACAGACGCGGTTGTTGGAACAATGTCAGCTCGCACGGCAGGCGGATGAGGAGTTAATCCGCAGGTTACAGTCAGAGTGTGGCGAATTGAGAGCGCAACGTGCTGAAGCCGAATCGCAATTAGTGATACTCGAAGAGGATCGCAGGAAGGAGGCGGATCGCACGAAGGTGGAGACGGCGAGGCGAGTCGCCCACTGTCTCAAGGGCTACGCCCACTGGGAAGTGAAGGCGCAGGAGAAACTCACACTGCGTGAGTTTGAATTGCGCGCAGCCGGGTTGTTGTCAGGCGACAGTAGGAGTCGGCGGAAGGTAGCAAAGAAGCTCGATGCCTTTCTGTCGAAGGCACAGGATACCATGTCCGCCCTCGAAGGGGAGGTGTCCGCGGCGTTGCAGCGTTTGGGACTGCGCAGTCGAGCGGAAGATTGGCAGGGTAGGGAGTTAGTGCGCGGCAGTCGACCGCGCAGGAGACGTAGTACAGGTTCCGCGGAGTGTAGTGTAGCGTGGTTCCGTGCAGGTGTGTAGCGTAGTGCAGTGTAGTGCTAGGTAGGACTTAGAAAGTATAAAATAGTTCCAGGCGTTTTGCCTGGGGTTCTTTCCCATCAGAAGTATAGATCAGGAACCCATTTCCTTTGCGTGTTTGTGTCCTTGAGTTCTGTCACCACGCACGAGGAGTTACAACTTAGCGTTCCGCATTTTGTAGCTGAAGGCCTTCGGCCGAATGTTCAGAGCTAGTCCATTGGTTAGAGACTTGAGTAGTTCGGATCTGCACCTGCGGGTGACTGCCGATGCTCAGAGCCAGTGACTAGTTAGATACTTGAACAGTTTCGCCCCTACACCTTCGAGTGTTTCTTTCTGATTGTACTCCCTTGGGATTTTTCCCCTGAATGCCAAAGTGAAGTTTTGCTACTTCGTGTAAGCCTTGGTTGTAAATTCAGGTTACGCTGCAGCAGGTGCCTTGAGGGTAACCCCTGTAGTATTTCTGGGAATGACAAGTGCCTGAGAATTCAAACTCTTCAATAGACTGTTGTTGTGTTACTGGAATGTTTCACAGTGAGTCCTTCAGTGCGGACCTGTGTTCTCTGCGCGTTTTGTGAGTTGAGAGTGTTGTTCACCGCGTAGGAGTGACTTCGATCCGAAGTAGGTAGTCCAAACCGGGTTTCCTACACTAGCAGCAAGCTAGTGGAAGTGTTGTAAAAGCCGGAGTTGGAAGTCACTGCCCGCAGCTTTGCCGAGTGTGCTCGTGAGAGACTTTCCCCCTGAAATCTTGAAGTAGAGGTCCTAACGGATCTCTGGGTTGTGTTTCTGTAGTTTCAGGTGTGTGTGTGTGTGTGTTACGCTGCACTGTGCGACCTCCGAGTGCGCTCCGAGTGGACACTTGCAGTATTTCTGGGAGTGACAGTCGCCTGAGAATTCAAACTCCTCAATAGTCTGTTAAAACGTGACACTTTGTACCCTGTGTGTTCCTCTGTCCCTGTGGGTTCGACCTTTCTACCACTATATTGCAGTTTTAGCCTTTAGTGGGTTATTACAGATGCCAAAGACACGATCTTCTTCTCGCGTACAAAGTGTGTTCTTCCTCAAATTGGAATCGGTGTCCATCAATACAACCTAATTTCAAAGAGCGTAGAACGCAGGAGCACGTAGCGTTGTTTCTTGTTTTCTAGATTGTTAAATGGTTCCTCTAAATTCAAAACAAGTCTCCTCCATGCTCCAGTAGACATCATTCTGGACAACCTCTCTGCGGCGCATTTTTCGAGCGTATGTACATGTACATGGTCCAAACATTACAGACCCTTCAATGGACCCAAAATTTCAGCCTTGAGCACTGAAATGCTCAAGGCTGATTGCCCTGAGAACACTCCCGTTGGCTTCGAATTGTTCACCTCGACAAATCGAACTCCACTGAATACTCAAACCTTTTCAACTCTGGGATTTTGGGTATGGAATAAGCCATCAAGTCGGTACAGGATCCGAACACATTTCTGCTCGGTATTGCCACCGCAATGATCTAGATGGGAAACATTCCAAGTTCTGATCCTCACGGCTGGAGAAAACTTTGCGCCTTCATTAAACCAAAATACTAGTGGGTGTCAGCTTTTAGCGGGATCCCTATCGATCTGTAATAAGCACGCTCGTGCTCAGTGCATTTAAGGCAATTGCAAGGAATTTGTTAATCTGAAAAGTAGATTTATCATCATTCCTCTGTAATATGGATTTGATCACAAGTACACGCTCGAGTTGAAGGCACTTGGGCCATTGTGGCTGCAAGAGTATGTCAGAAGTAGATATGAAGTCGTTTGTTGAGAATATGGACATCGAAAGTGGTTTGACTCCGAGCTGTTGATATATCATGGATCGGGACGCAGCAGTCAAGTTAAAAAGCCACTGAATGGAGAAAAATGAAATTTATCGTATGCATTTCCTTTTAGTTAAGATAAACTGTAAAATGAATCCATGTATTACTGCATTATTATAGACATGATACAAATACGTCAAAAGACGTTGGGAGGAAGGCCGTGGACATCGTTAGTGACTTGGACTATATCATAGATTTGGACTGTCCAAGGACATTCGGAGGACTATATCGTACTGTCCAAGGACGTTGGGGGGACTATATAATAGATTTCATACTGTCCAAGGAAGTTGGGGGACTATATCATAGAAGAGCCGAAGAGGAGTGCAACAAGGAGGGAATATCAATCATTGGTGGGCGGAAGGGACGAGGATGTAGGTTACGCGGAATGTTGCTTGCGGCCTATATTTGTGTTAGGGCGACGGTGTGCAGCGGCAACCGCTGATTATTTTTCTCGCGGTTGTTGCGTATTGTCGGCGCTCGACGGATTGCGGGGGAGCCAAAAGTGACGATTTCACCTGTGCTTTTGATGCGCTAGCCGACGCCTAGGAGATATAGCATATTTACATTGAAGATTGAGATAATAATAGCAACAGCTTTTTTTAAGTACATCAGGAAGTCATATAAGAGAAAATATAAAGGTCAAGATGTACTGCTGGAAGTTATTCGATGTACTCTTCCCGCACCCTTTGTATAGGGCTACGGGGGATTGCTTCCTGGTGTTGTGCTTTCATCGAAGATGGGTTCCCCTCCGAACGCAGCGTGCGCTGCCTGCAAGTTCCAGCGTCGGAAATGCGCTGTGGACTGCTTGCTGGCGCGTGATTCCCTACAAACCAACCCAGGCGTTTTGCGAACGCGCACAGGCTCTTCGGAGTAGGGAAGATATTGAGGCTCATACGAGAGAATCGGAGCTCCGTCGAGGATCTTATGAACAGTGTGTGCTTCGAGGCTAACGCTCGGGAACGAGATCCTGTCAATGGAGTGTACGGGACATTACGAGATCTTCAGCGAGAGGTCGAGAGACTGGAGGAGAACAGAACGGCTTGGGCCGAGAAGCTTAGGTTACTGTTGCTGGAGGATGCTGCTGCCAACAATGTCAACAACGCACCGCATACCCATACTGCATACAACGCGGTTCCTCCAGATTATAACGCACATGCACGGCCTACTCAGGTCGCCTTCACAGAGACAACGCCAGCGCTGCAACAGCAACAACTGCATTACATTCAGATGCCCCAGCAGCAGATGGGTTCTCTAGAGTATTTTGTTAGAGTATTTTGTTAGTTCTAACGCCGGTGGTGGAGGCTTTCCTCCGGTGCAAGCATCGGACGTGTCGACCTCTCATCCACTTATGCTCATCACAGAGAGAAGTGCAGAAGTGCCTCTTCTTCGTACACTGGAACAGCAGCGAGAGACTTTCTCTCCCTCACAAACAACTCTAAGTCTCACTTTTATTGACTTTTTTTTTAAAAAGATGCAGATAATACAGAATCTGCGCACATACAGTGTCTTCCCAGGATTTTATATTTTATGACAGTGTCTTCTCTAGCCGTAGGGCTCGAGCGCAGGAATGGCGCCCATTTTGATCATGGCCCATCCGAACTCGTTCAGGAAGGCCATGGGATCTTGCACCGCTCTGATGACATATTCCACGCCCAGCGGGTCGCTCAAGAGCGCCGCGTCGGACTCCAGCAGACCCTTGTTTGTCAGCAGGTCCAAGTTGTACGCGGAATCGAAGGTGCCATTGGTAGCGTCCAAAGTCATGAATCCGAAGGGCTTGGTAGGAGGGCACTGGACCTTGAGCATAGCAGCGAACTCAGGGTCCATGGCGGGATCGGTGATGTTGAGTCCCTGGAAGTTGTAGAGGCGCTCGAAGAATGCGCCACAGTGAACTTGTCCAATAGAGTGTCCTCCTGCAGTAGAGTGATTGTTGTGAGGAAAGACAAGTGAATATGAGGACTGAAGAGTAAAGAGTGTGTGTGTGCTCTTTGCTGCGACGTCTTTACGACCCTTGCATTGAGTTCATATCTGAGGGACATTATGTGTTTCAGAGTTGATCGGGTTTTTCCCTAGAATGTATGAATGTGACAAAGCCCAAGTCAGACACGAATATGTATGAATTTAATCACTCCAACATCGAGTTTTATGCGCTTCAAATCCTTCATTACATCAACCATTTAGTCCATTGTAGCTGAAGTGTCATACGGCAAATTATTCTGCACACATTAAGTTACCTGATAGTATGATTATGTCTCTGGCATCGAGTCCAACTTTGGCGAACCTGGCGACGAGTTGCGTGAAGTTGTCTGTACGTTCGGTAAAACTACTGTTGACCTCATCGGCGAATGAAGCTCCTCCGTCTATACGGCCCAAAAACACGGGCCAGCTCGTGCCTCCAACCTGCTAATGATCACGTGTTGTTTCTGAATATCTGCGAGTGCAAGTTCGTGCGGTTATAGGACAAGCCTCATGCATCGTGTCCGAGCACTCAAACATCGTTAGCCTCTACATCAAAGCTGAGATTTTAATGCTTGAAAAGTTGTACGGTGTTTTGATAGCAGTGGATCCATGGGAATGTCAGTCGTCAAACCACATACCTTCGGAGTAACGTCTCGGGCGACCAATGCTAAAATATCAGCACAAGATACCACACCTGGCCACGCGCACACCTCCATCTTTATTTGGTCAATCTGCTCAAATCCCCTCAAAGAACGTTTGTTGAGCAATGCTTCTTTCTCAGACAGCATAGACTCGGTAGAATTGAGAAGGACGGATCCATAGCAACCCTGTGAGTCGTAAGGAAAACAAAGTTCGCTTAGAACTTATAGCGTTATTGGTGAGCATTGATCTTGTCTTTCAGTCTGACGCTTGAACAAGTATACGTTTGCATGCATTGCTTATAGCATTACGAGTTGATGTACCTGGACGAAGCAATCGTGGAAATGAAGTCGCATCAAAGCTGCAACAAGGCCTCGATTGGCATCCACAAATGCATTCACCTTCTGTTGGACGATGGATGCGGCTTGTGGACATGTGGTATCATAGAATGTTTTTGACAGTTGTAACTGCGCATAGGAAACAACTACTGCTACCGCGAGCACAAGAAAAACTACCGATCTCAGACTGGTAGGAGCCATTGTTGCTCGAATGATGCCGACGACACTTCACCGAGAGCCCAGGTCTTTTTAACAAGTGGACGATTTGGTCCCCTTACCCAGTTGAAGGCAGTCCAACCTCGTGAAAGATTGGACTTGCCTTCCTGCAAAATATTATCATCTGAGCTTTTAGACAAAGAAAGAAAGTCTGCAATGCTCGCAGTACAGAAACTCGCTTTAATTTAGACTTGAAGGAACCATGGTTTTAAACTTTTAGACTTGTTGAGCTAAAAGATCCAAGAGCAGTCATACATTTCCAAGAAAAGGAACGACATACTGTAATAACCCACTAAAGGCTAAAACTGCAATATAGTGGTAGAAAGGTCGAACCCACAGGGACAGAGGAACACACAGGGTACAAAGTGTCACGCTTAACAGACTATTGAGGAGTTTGAATTCTCAGGCGAGTGTCACTCCCAGAAATACTGCAAGTGTCCACTCGGAGCGCACTCGGAGGTCGCACAGTGCAGCGTAACACACACACACACACACACACCTGAAACTACAGAAACGCAACCCAGAGATCCGTAGGACCTCTACTCAAGATTTCAGGGGGGAAAAGTCTCTCGCGAGCACACTCAGCGAAGCTGCGGGTAGTGGCTTCCAACTCCGGCTTTTACAACACTTCCACTAGCTTGCTACTAGTGTAGGAAACCCGGTTTGGACTGCCTACTTTGGATCGAAGTCACTCCTACGCGGTGAACAACACTCTCAACTCACAAAACGCGCAGAGAACACAGGTCCGCACTGAAGGACTCACTGTGAAACATTCCAGTAACACAACAACAGTCTATTGAAGAGTTTGAATTCTCAGGCACTTGTCATTCCCAGAAATACTACAGGGGTTACCCTCAAGGCACCTGCTGCAGCGTAACCTGAATTTACAACCAAGGCTTACACGAAGTAGCAAAACTTCACTTTGGCATTCAGGGGAAAAATTCCAAAGGAGTACAATCAGAAAGAAACACTCGAAGGTGTAGTGTGGTACCCCACTTTTGGCAATTTTGAGGAAATTAAAACATTTTTGGAAAACTGTACCCTGGCAGCATTGTAAATAGCCTTCGGTACATCAAAACGGAGTGAATCCGGAAGATCGCGGGGATTCTCGAGGGATCTTGTAGAATCTGGGATTTGGGGTGCAGCAGTAAGGACAGGCACCACCCTCCCTGCGAGCTCTGCAGTTAGGACCCCTACGACGCAAGGCGCAAAACCCGCCTTCGGAGGTTGCGTCCGCGGCGGTAGGGAAATCCTCCATAATTAGGTCAACCCTCGGGCGCCTTGACCAAGTTAGGGTCCCGTTGGAAAGAGCTCGACGCACTGATTCCAACGAGTCCAAGAACGCTTGGAACGGATGAGGACTTAGGGAGTTATCACTATTGGAAGATACGGAGACGGTCGCCTTCGGCGGAAGGAGTTCGCCACCGGCGGGAATTCCGCCTACGCGGAAGGGGGAATCAAGTTTTGTCCTATGCGCGGACGAAGGCGTTCGCCTGTGCACAGGCGAAGTAGGGTTTGGGGAGGCGCGAAGTCCGCCTACGCACAGGCGTTCGCCTGTGCACAGGCGCTTCGGCGTCGGCGGAAAATCCGCCTTGGGCCCTAGAAATGCGCCTTGTGAGGTAGAAAGTGTACGGCGTCTTCCGCGCCAGCGCAGCGCCGCGTACGGTGGAAGAGCCGCCAGAGTAATCAAATCTGTACGGACCATGCGGACGGGACGGGTGGATGCGCTCTTGGACGGACGAAGTTGCGGCGGCGGAAGCGCCGACGAAGAGACAAGAAACGGACAGACTGGACGGAGACGGCTGACCACGGTCAACGCCTTCCGCGCCAGCGCGACCCCGCGCACGGAATTCGCCTGCGCACAGGTCGCCTGTGCACAGGAGAATGAAGTTCCGCGCCGGCGGAGAATCCGCCGAGGAGTCTGCCTGCGCACAGGCAGGAGTTGAACTTTTGTCCGACATGCGGACACACGCGTCAAGGCAGAGGGGGATTGGCCGAGGGGCGGTACGAACAAGTGTACCGCGCAAGGCGGAAAACTCGCCTTCGGCGCTACGCCCCCATGTCCGCGGGGTAATACGCTCGCGGAGTTCAAATCCGCCAATTCGAGCGTGAGAGTTTAATCGGCGACGGCGGAGCGTGAAGCCGCGCGTGAGAGCGGAGACCGTTCCAGCGTAGAGCCGGCGCGGCCATCAAGTGAGACGTTCTCCACGAGCAAGAGCCGACCATGACCTTCGACCGGGCGGCGGAGAACGTCCCATTCTTGAATTCGCGATTCCAATCTCTTGTGCGCGCTGCGCGCATCCATCTGCTGGCTGCTAAACATTCTCGACGTCGCCGCACAGGAGATTTCTTGTTGATTGAGGGAGAAGTGAATGCGCGTGATTTGGAATTGAGTGCGATTAGAGTTTGCCGAGAGAGAAAGGAGCTCGGGCGGTGCGGAAGTAGAATGAGCGGGCGAGCGAACCCCAGGAACGCAATGACGAGACCGGGCAGATTGCGGATGGTGCCACTTCGCCTACCACAGAACGGGCTGCGCGCTTTCGAGGAGCGCTTAATAGCAAGAAAGCTCGATTTCTTGCTATGGGGATGGAACTACATCTGTGCGAATATGGTGCGCGAGTGGCTAGAGCCACAGGGACCACCCTCGCGCGGATTGCGTCCGCATGTTGATCGGTGGACAGTCCAAGATTGGGCGCAGGCGTTGGGAAGATGTGCTGGCATGCCAGGGCATCTCCTTTTCGACAGTGAGAGCATCAAGGTGACCAAGCAGGAAGAGGCGCAATTTGTGGAGCTGTTCAAGACCGGGAGGTCTACCAAGAATGGGTACAGGACCCGTGATTACAAAGATCGATTTCGCCGGACTTTGTCCGCGGCGCTGATGCAATTACTGTAGCCACACCGCGCCTGCTACGTCACATTGTGGCCGGTCTCTTTTGTGGAGTGCGTCATCGAGGGAACTCCAATTCACTGGGCGAGCATCCTGCACAGGGTGATGCGACAGCACGCTTTTGAGGAGAAGGGGGGAACTCTAAACCATCTTTCTCCTTTCCTCATCAATTTTTATCGATAGCGGAATTGTTTGACAGCGGCGGAGCTTGAGCATTTTCCGCCATTGTCCGTCGACCATCCCGGGAAGTATGTGCGGGAGAATGAGGTCGACACTGATGCAGAGGAGTCACCGACTTCTACCCCATCAAGGCGGAGGGACGAAGGGAGAAACACTCCTGCAGCACGAGTGCCGCGGAAGCGGCGATGGAGAGAAGAGTCCGAAGAGGAGCAGCATCAAGAACCCTCTGCTCCCATTCGACCGCGGCCGCTGTACGAGTCATACAGCCGGCCGAAGCAGAAGGCACGCAGACTGGTGTTACCAGCCGACAGTGCGGACACGGCGACGATTGCGACGGAGAAAGGAAGTGCGTCGCCAGAGAAGCATGAGGA